TGTATACATACAATACACAAATAAACTCATAATGGAGCCCAGATGAATGCTTTTTTTCAAGGGCTGAGTAAAACAAACGCTCTATAATCTAGTTGGATTCCTTTCTAAATTCATTCACAAGGCTCTGGGAGACTACAGGTGTGTGTAAACAGAGACGTCGTTCTGGGTTACCCGAACTAGGTTGTATGTTGTAATCACTGCCTCTCCCACTTTGTATGGGATGCTGAGTACGTTTGTACTCACATTAGCATATGCTACGACTAGGTTAAGTCAGACTAATCCCACGGTGGGTAAATAAGCGCGTACCATGATAAGATCAGTTTCAGAGAGGGGACTAACTTCAGAATGTGGGCTGTAGACTGGAGAGTGCTTCTCCAAGTGTCTCGCGACTGGATTTTTAAAATCAGTGAAACATATTGCGACAAGCTTAAAACTGCTATAAAAATGGTTAATTGTGCAGTTGAGTGTGCAAACGATTCAATGTATAAAATAATTTAAATAAAGCAGTGAAAGTCGGTAAAATAAACGTGTACATGGTGAACTCAAAAACAGCTAATCTAAAGGATTTCGAACTCCGTGCACTTTCGTGACCAACTGACCGCCTCCGTGGTGTAGTGGTTAGAGCGTCCGCCCGGAGAGCGGAAGGTAGCGGGTTCGATCCCCGACCGCGTCATACCAAAAGACGTTAAAATATGGTACTTGTTGGTCCCTGCCTGGCGCTTGGCATTAATGGGTACATCAAGGACTGGTCGGCTCGGAGTCAGTATAATGTGTCTGAGTGGGGTATTTATGCTTCACTGCGGCATGGTATCTCAGTGAGCTAGCACTATAAAACCAGCTTTAGTCTGGGCTAGTACAAGCAGCCGCACATACACATACACATACACACGCATGCACGTCGTCAAATGAGCTAAATATTCTCAAGCACGACGTTAAACCCAATTTCACCTCACCTCACCTTCGTGACCGACTTGTGTTATTCCGGGACTGGCCGAACAGCGACTCGTGCCCTCATTGAAGGATTTTATACATTTGTGACCAACTCGTGTTATTCCGGGGCAAGCCGAATAGCGACTCGTGCCCCTCTGGAAGGATTTCATATTGGCGTAGGAACATCAGAACTACTTCCAACAGGAACAATAACTCTATTCCTGTTTGATTCCAATGGTACTTAATATCACCGAAGTACACATACATTGTATTGCTGTTTTTGTTTTTGCTTATTCATTCCAAAGCAGAAACCTCCTTGATACAACTAAAAGAAAGAGAAAAACATATTTGTTAAAAACATACTCTGACGTAATTATCACCAGATGTTCACATTATATTTCCAATTATATTTCTGAAAAAGGGTTTAATAATCACAAATGGGATTTGTTTTATTGAATATGCAAAAAATTTTTTTATGAAAAACAGCAGAAATCCCAAACAGAAACACAAAAATGACTTTAAAATATTTCTCAAACTGAGCATAGGTGTAACCCAGCTGTCATACCCCAAGTGGAATTTTAAAGAATTCGATGAAAAATATATGAATTACCAAAACAATATCAGACTAAAATATTCCCACAGATGTGAAATGTATGCCCAATGTTAAAGATTAAAGTTGATTAGTTATATACAGATATAATATAATATTATTGTTTTAAAACTCGTAGCGATTTATAATTACATTTCCTAAAACTGTTGGAAGCGCACGTACAATCACCACAACAAGCCCGCAAGATCGTCAGAAATACACTCGGTTGGACCATTGAGAGTGAGTGAGTTTAGTTTTACGCCGCACTCAGCAACATTCCAGCTGTATGGCGGATGGACAAGCCAGAGCCGTTATGTCAGAGGTTATGTCAACAAACGCACGCTCGTGTATTTCAAGCTCTCACCGTCAATCGCATGATTCTTATCAAAAACTTCACATTAGACAGCACATTCTGTTATCTACGTTCTTAGTACTTTCAATATGACGATATATATTTTTCCAGTTTTTTGAAACAATAACATAATGCCATAAACACTTTAAGTAGTTTTATCAAAGCACCGCAACGTCTCACACTCACTGTTTGTACACGATACATATACAGTCTCAAGGAACAATACACAGAATTAAATCATCAAACTAGTTATCAGAATTTACACGTTAAGAGTTCCAAACAGTAATTCTCTCAATTAATAACATTATGTAGGGAATTAATTTGTGCGTTGAAAAGTGGCCGAATCTTATTTCATACGGTAACGGCTGTAGCCTAATTACCGGTTTGTGCACGTGATAGCGGAAACTGTCGAAGATATCCGGAAATCAGATCTCCGGTTTTGTGTATAATCTGCGCACTAATTACACAATACGTCACTTTCTAAGTGTTATTAATGTACCACATTGTATATTTAATATGAAATGGTCTCATTCGAATGCTTTTAGGGTAAATCAACCTCCAAACCGATTTTATAACGCAATGAGTTATCAAGACACAAGTTTCAGAATTGTGCGAGAAAAGGACGGTTTATATAGGCGAGTGAGACCACTGTCATCGGAGCGTGTGTCTGGTTGACACTTCTGAACATTGATCGCTGATAAATTCCGGCTGATCTGTCCAGTCAAGCTGTCCCGTTTGGTACACGTTCTATAAGCGTGGAGCTCCCGATGCCTGGCGCTCGGTGGAGTTCCGTTCAAAATTGGCCTCGCTGTAAAGCGCAGCGCCCTAGGGTTTACCGGTCCACTCTGGCTTCTGAATTTCTAAAATGGGAAGTTGGGGGTTCTCAACACTGATTTGTGACGCTCCAATACGGCACTGCAAGTGGCAGTCTGCCAGACTTTTTCCCCAAAAAGCTGTATCACTTAATCTTTTATTATTACGTAATGTTTTATTCCTTCATGTGTGTATGGACATCTTGTTTATACAGACTACAAATATAATAACACTGGATAAATGAGAAAACAAGATTTATGGATGCCAACTTCTTTATTGTTATTAACACGACGTTTCGGAGCATATGCTTGCTCCTTCATCAAGACATTTGACACATCTCTGAGGGTTATACTTAGGGCTGCGCAATATAACCGGTTTACCGGTATTTACCGGTTCAGACATGAAAACGATACGTATTGCGATACGCTGATCGAAAACCGGTATTTTGACATGCATTCGGAAAACTTCGGAAATCTTCGGATATTTCCGCTTTTATAGTTGTTCTTTTCCTTGTTTCATTAGTGCCAAATATTACTTACATTTTTATTTTGTCATGATTAAAAGTTTTTATTAAAGGTTAATCAATCATAGTGATTTTGTTGTGTTTTTGCTTTATAATCAAGCATTAACTCGATTATAAGTAGTTTTTGTTTAAAAACATAATTCTTGCAATATATTGCAATACATATCGCAATATATGCTTTCGCATCGCAATATATCGCAATATGAAAATTCTCTGCAATACCCACCTCTAGTTATACTTATCATGTTGGATCTCATCACTGTGGCAATTCCATGTACTGAACAATGATGAAACGTTCCGTATTACTGAAAAGCATAACAGAAAATGAGTGAGGTTTGTTTGACGCCTATTTCAGCAATATGTCACTTGCCTCATGTCAGCTTGATGTTGGAGGGAGGCCGGAAGTGACGTAGGTCTTACTCCTGTCAGACGAACACGGGTGTGGTGCTGACAAATTTAGAATCGGAACCAGATAAATCAGGGTTGGTGTCATGGCAACGATTCACAATGTTGAGGTATCATATTACACAATAGGTCAGCCCACACCTTCTTCGTTCAGTCAATCAGTCAAGTCTTACAACAATGTATGTCTCAATATGTCTCATAATGGTCAATAGCAAACTTTAAAGACGTTACCCGTGTGTTAAACACCCCAATAATGAAAACTAAATGCCCTAAAATAAACGGATCTGGAACATACAAAGTCATGATCAATATTGTGAGCAACGATCGACGCCATCAAGGTAAGGTGACACGCAAATCGTCCAATCCATTCAATATACCCCTCCATCTCGCCACCTCTCACGACCACCATGGGTCGCTGGGGACTTATTATATAATCACCAACGGTATACATGCAGTGTGATTGAACATTTATGCTTCTGTTTTGTGATGGTATTTTGTTTTGCATGCATTTTGATATATACACAAAGAACTTAGTTAAGCACCCCCTGACATTTTTCACGATTGAATGAGACGGATCTTTACCTTTTGGAGCATATCTGGGACATGATTGGTCGTCGTGTGCGACAAAGGGATCCTCCTGTACAGAACCTGGCCAAAGTGGAAGCTGCTTTACACGAGGAATGGCGTAGACTGGTCCTTCAGAGGATCAGGAGGCTGACAGGGGGTATGAGGAGCAGATAGCTGGCTGTCATACAGTCACATGGATGTCACACTCGGTATTGACCTTGAATTGTGTAAGACGCGCAAAATGACATTTACCAATAAATTCAACATTAAATATGCCATACTTGTACAGACATGGCTTTGTATGAAAATCGGTGTGTTTTTTATAATCAGCAATTATCATCATAAAATAATCAATAATCACAGATTCCAATCATTTTGTCGTTTTTTATGAGTCAAATGATACGGATCAAATGATATGAACACATACGGGTCAGGAAAACTCATGTTTTTCAATTGTGGTCACCACGAGAAGTTTTATGTACGTGTTGAAAACCAATCATTGCAAAAATACAGGGGGTGCTTAATTAGGTTATTTGTGTATATATAAAGTTATCGATATCAGTAGCATGTTTTTCGCTGTAGTCTGAGTTTTAGGCATTTATCACCCAGCTTCGAGGCAGAATATTTCCTGAAGAAAGAGGCCATTACACAAACAGGTTGACACTACACCCAATTTAACCAAATGTGTATTTGCGAGATAGGGGAAATCAAGATGTTGTGCTGTTGAGGATTCAAACTTGATGTACTGAGGTCACATGTTACTTCAGGACTGTCAACCGTTTAGAATGAATCGATGACTGTCTTTAGCTGAACTGTCAGTTTCATCTCTTGAAAGAATTGAGATAGCTTTGGTCATCTCTGATAGTTTCTTGAAAGGCAGATCTTGACTTGAGACGGTCATAATATTTCCTGATCCGTGGATGGTTTTGGAGAAGTTCCCCGTCTCTTAGTACAGCGTAGATGTATATGTCGTAGCCCACGACACAGTCAGCAGCAGTCAGTCTGAAGTGTATATTCGATTAATTGATTGATTGATTGTGGGTCAGCGAGTGAGTGGCTGAGCGAATAGTGCATGTAAAGTAAAATGCGTCTCTGAATTTTCATCCACTTTTAGATGTAACGTCGAGATAGAACATTTGAGTTATCGCCCCTGGTAGAAGGTGCCTTCTTTGTTTACTTGGTGTAACCTCCAACATTAAAGGTACAGGGTCAGTGAATTCCTACAGCTACTATAACAACTGAGTTACGGAGTATGTTGGAATGTTTGGTAGTAGGTGCAACATGATTATAAGATTAAGGTATATCGTATATTGTTTAACGTGTGCTGAAACTGAAAGTACTGGTCAAAGCAGCTTAAAACCCAATAAAAAAATCACATCCCCAGGGAGGACATAACAGAATATATACCATTTAAATATATTGGGATATTATCTTTCCATTCTAATCTATAATACCACTCAAAAGAATTAAATTCTGATGCTTTAAAACCTAACGGTAAAGTCAGCTGGTGGTTATGGCAGAGATACTTATCTCCACAGAGGAAGTCTGTCCTTTCCAGTCTGGTGGAGGTGAGGTGAGGTGAGGTGAAATTGGGTTTAACGTCGTACTTGAGAATATTTCGCTCATATGACGACGTGCATGCGTGTGTATGTGTATGTGCGGCTGCTTGTACTAGCCCAGACTGAAGCTGGTTTCATAGTGCTAGCCCACTGAGATACCATGCCACAGTGAAGCATGAATACCCCACGCAGACACATTATTCTGACTCCGAGCCGACCAGTCCTTGTTGTACCCATTAATGCCGAGCGCCAGGCAGGGATCAACAAGTACCATATTTTAACGTCTTTTGGTATGACGCGGTCGGGGATCGAACCCGCGACCTTCCGCTCTCCAGTCTGATGGAGAGATAGTCCAGGCAGGTATTCCGCTTGTCTCCAGAAGCTCGTCCAGGGTGGTGTTGGCGTACACGATGAAGCTGGAACACCAAACATTACCGAGCATAACCGAGCCACATCGAGTTACGCCGAGTAATACCGAGTCACGCCGAGTGATACCCAGTAATACTACTATCGAATAACACTGGTAAACCTAAAAAACTTCTAATGACACCGAGTCACACCGAAAAAGAGGGCAAAACACTGAGCGACACCGCGTCATACTCATAACACCAAGTCACAGAGGGAAACCTAGTAACACAGAGTAACACCGAGTAAAACCTAATCACACGGAGGTACGATGATTGAGTTTACTTAAGTAATAACGAGTAAGAGCGGGATATATCGAGAAACAACGAGAATCACTGCTTAAGCATGTTCTTGTTTGTACAAGGGAACTGTCCCTATACAGACTATAGTAACCCAAACATATTACTTATTCGTTTTATGTCTCGTTTGTATCGAATCCGAGAAGGGACATTGTCGCGTTGTCGCATTGTCACCTCTCAAAAACAAATAAAATGAGGCAAAATAAACCAAAACGCGACACGCGACATCGCGACAACGCGACATTTCGCTCATTTGTCGCATTGTCGCGATGTCGCGTGTCGCGTTTTGAATAATATTTTCTATTCCTCCAAAGGGCGACACGCGACATAGCGACAATGCGACAAATGGGCGAAATGTCGCGTTGTCGCGATGTCGCGTGTCGCGTTTTGGTTAATTTTGCCTCATTTTGCTTGTATTTGAGAGGGCGACAACGCGACAATGCGACAACGCGCAAATGTCCCTTTCAGGGTTCCATACGTTTGCCTAACTTCAGGTAAAACATAACTTTGCATGGAGAAATACAAACATTTTCTGGCATATGTAAGGTCAACGTACTCGTAATAGTCCTTGAGGAATTTTGGGTCCGGCAGAAGTTTCTTGTATCTGTCTGCCAGGTACATGTTGATGGCCCCTGACTTCAGTACGGTCCCCTCCCCGGGGACGACGAGGGCGGGGATAGTACCGTGGGGGTGCACGTCCCTGCGGTAGGCGATGTTGGTCGCCACATCTGTGTTCGGCTTGTAGCGGATAAGTCTGAAGTCCTCTTCAACACATTTCTGAATTATTCAGGGTATTGATATGTAAACTGACGTACAAAAGAAAATATACACCTGCTGCTTTGGTAAAATGTTTTCCTGAAAACAGCGTAATATTTAGAAAAGTGTTTTGATTGCGACTCATAAGTCACAAACATTGTGTACTTGTTGCAATAATACCATAGATATCGTACCCAATTGGAACATTGCTAGCAAAATATTTACGTTGTTTTAATAGTCTCAAAACACCAAGTGTGTACTTTCTTTTGTATATCAATATATTTAATGTTGAAGCAACCCGAGTTAAAATAGACACTTTTCTACATGCCACAATATTACGGCTAGGTTAGGAAGGTGAGGTGAAATGGGGTTTAACGTCGTACTTAAGAACATTTCGCTCATCTGACGACGTGCATGTGTGTGTATGTGTGGCTGCTTGTACTTGCCCAGACGTAAGTTGGTTTTATAGTGCTAGCTCACTGAGATACCATGCCGCAGTCAAGCACTCAGACACATTATAACAAATCCCGACAGGATCCTCACCATTTATTTCCCCAAAAGATCATCCTGTATTCATGCATCCATCTGTTTTACACAAAACATTAGTACTCTTTGTTGTGGACAGGAAAAGAACATTTTATCAGTACTTACCTTTAATGAGCCAAATGACCCTGACGGAGCCAAACAGGGGATGCCAGTATAGTGTCATCAACTCCGCCATGGTGACTTGTACCCAGAGGAATCTGTAACCGGAACCTGTGCTTTTTCGAGAGGTGGACTGGCTTTTCGGAGGTCACCTTGACCTTTGTTCACCCGGAAGCTTCAGTAAGTACAGCAGTATTTAAACGGCAACGGATCTCAGTAGCGAGGCTGGTCGTAGTGGCGCCAATGACGAAATACACAAGAGAGGACCGTGACCTATATCGCGACACTAGTTTATTAAAGGGAGACGGTCTTCGCTAAAACAAACAGTAAATTATTTTATACAGTCGTTAAACACCGAAACACAAGTAAGGACCCTGCAAACCATGCTCGTGATGAATTTGGGATTCGAACCCACAAGTAGGATTGCCGAGATATCCTCTGTGTTGAGTATACAATAGATCTTCTGTACAACATGATTGTCATATGAAACTAAATTAACGTTTAGAACCATCAATAAAGTTATATTATTTAATATTTACAAATTTAGCAAACATGTGAAAATAGTAAAAGGTAAATTTCAAATTGAGCTCAGAACAATGCTTTATTTCTGGCATAGAGTTGTAGAAGTCTGGACTTTCTAAATCATTCCAAAAGAGAAATGTATTCTATAGAGTTTATGAGTCGTCCACGAGAAGGGCTCAGTGTGTGTTATTATCTAGGATCATTGCTTGTGTATGAACAACCAAATGGATTGGATCAGCCTAATTCACTCAAGACAAGCAACTATATATAACTTGAAAAGAAGCCCCAGTAAGATGGGAAAATGCAGAAAAAGTATAAAATCTAACGTGTTTCATTTATGACTTCGCGGGAAGGAAATATAGTTCAGAGACTGAGAGACAGATTAGCGAAAACTTCGATAGTTCGTTTTTCACCACTCAGGAATTATTTACCACATGTATCGAGTCTGGTCGGAGGTATAAAACAAAACGACGAAAACGATCATTTGTCTCGATCTAACGAGTGTTCAATATGCTGGTATATAATTTGCTTAAAATACTTAACAATGAAATGCCCCTATAGTTATCTGGGTTGTGGATATCACCCTTCTTGTGTAATGGAATAATTATTGCTTTACTCCAAGCATCTGGAAAGCTGCCGCTCTCAAATAGTTTATTAAATAATACGAGAAGAAATGGCATAACGACCTTTTCCGATGATTTAATCATTTCTGCTAGTACATTGTCGACCCCAGACGATTTACCAATTTTTAACCGTTTAATAGCATCGAAAATTTCTTCTTCTTTAATTGGAGAATCCAAAATCTGTTTCGCAAAATCGCTTGATTCAGGACATATATGTGCAGCACATGTAACAAAAGTATCTTGATCTTGATCAGAAAGATCAGTTTTATCATACAGTAATTTGAAGTGATTAAACCATGATTCATCAGAAATATCGGGTGGTGGTTTCCTGGGATTAGATATATTTCTCAGTTCCTTCCAACACGATATAGGATTGTGGCTAGAGTTATATAACTTTCTGGCTGTTAGCTGTTGGTTTATTCTTTTCCACTTCCTACATTTATTTTTATAAGTATTTCTGAGTATGCAATTTTTCTTTCTATTTAGGTTATTTCTATCATTTCTAAAGCGCTTAAGACCCTTTCTTGCCTCTAATTTAGCCCTGTGGCAATCACTACCATAGAAGTTCTTAGGTCTAGTTTTACATCGAGGTGGCATTTTCATACAACCTGCCGCTTCTAATATACAATCTGCAAATTTGGAAACAGCATTATTAATGTCAATTGAAATTTAATCTATGAGTAAGTCTAGTACATGCTTTCTATCATATATATTACATACGAATATTTGTTCATCACATAATTTCCATTTATATTTTCGGATGCAATCATTTTCCAGTAGTTGATTATAATTGCTTTTTACACTTTTGAAACTGAGTACCAGTGGCATGTGCTTGCTTTCAATTCTATCACATATTTTGAAACTAACAAAGAACTTGAATAAATTAGGGGACGGAATAATATAATCAATAACACTACAGCCCTGATCAGAAATGTACGTGAACTGACCTCGTTCATCACCTTTTACACGTCCATTAACTAGAAACAAGTTAAAACATAGCAAAAGCTCAAAAGTAAATTCCCAAATCTATTTACAATAACATCCTGAGTTGACCTGGTGTTTATAGGTACTGGTTCATCTTCAGGTAAATAGTGATCAATTCTATCATCTGGAGCATCAGGTGGCTGATTACCATCTCCAACACGAGCGTTAAAGTCACCCATACAATGAATATCACAGTCAGTCATATAATGGGGGTTGTCTAACAACCACTCTTCTAATTGATCAAACAGGGTACATGTTTGTACTTTCTTATAGAATGTTGAACCTTCTGGTGGAACATATACAGCAAAAAGTAAAATATCTCGTTCGGTATTCAACATAAGCGTAAACAGATAACATTTGATATTGTAATAGGTATCTCTGAACAGTATTGTGACACTGAATTCCATATAAACATGTAGATACCCCCCTGAAAGCCGTCCAAAATTAGACAATTTATGAGCTTTACAAAAATACAAGTGAAATTCAGATAACTCTGGTTTTGTGATCAGATTATCAACAAAGTCTCGTATAGGCATATTAGGTCAAACTGACCTAGGAAGGCTAAGAAATCTGAGTCTGAATCTGAGTCTCCATGAAAGGAATGTAAAGGGAACAAAGGAGATGTTATCGTAGAAGTCACTACGATTTGTGTCATCACGAGGCGTGTGTTGGTCATCCGTGTCATCAACAGGTGTTTGTAATTGGCTACAGGCCCGGCAGCTTTCGTATTGTGATGACATTGCAGGAGCGCTTCTTGTTGTGGGTGTAGGTGTGGGTGCGGGTGCCGACGTCGTCCGGTTGTTAACAACAAAGCTGACGTTGTTCAGGCGTCTCAGTGTTCACAGGCCGCCGTCATATAGCTGGAATATTGCTGAGTGCGGCGTAAAACTAAACTCACTCACTAACTCACTCACCTCTCTGCTGAAGACCCCAGTGAAGCAAGTCTAGGTTTTCTTCATGGTCAGGGTCTGAATCTCTCAGCTCAGTGACTGGCGCCCATTTCCGTGTATCTATTTGTTATGTGTACTAAAATCTATAACATAAGAGAACAACACAACAGAGAATACAACAGATAAGGTGCTTAAGTGTAATAGCAATCACATGCGACACTTCGGACATGTCTCACGCACCTTTCGCACAGGACCACTCACACCTCACACATACGCGCACAAACGATCTCTGAGGGACACGCTCCGAACACACACACACACACACACACACACAAAAAACACACACACACACACACACACACAAACACAACACAACACAACACAACACACACACACACACACACACACACACACAAAATAAAATAAAATATAATACGGAAACAAACCCAATGCATATATTAGTATATGATATATTATCAGTGACGATCAACTAACAGTTGTATGAGTTTGTTTATGAACTTCTTATGCAATTATATTACTGCATATCATATGTATGCAGTGGCTTGATAATGATGTTTTAATTGCTCTTTGCAATATTTAATCTACCCGTGTGTATATACGTGAATGTGTATAGAAATATTTATTGTATATTTTGTTATTATTGTTACAGTGTCATGCTATAGGTGCCCACAGAGACATACTGAGGAACTAAATACATCTCTCACGACCCGCCGCCTTGGTCATTCTAGATTAGACCAGCACAGGCTGCAACACAAACGCTTGCACTCGTGCAAACACCAACGGACGCACGCACATACGACAATTTAATTTGTCGAGTTAATATAATCCGTCATACAACAGAAATGGTATACCCAACTGGCTAATAGTGCCAGACAAGTATTACGGACGGAGCGATAAACATGGCCACTTGAATATCGTTTTCTAGGTTAAGGTGTTCTCTGTCAATGGGCGAATGATTCTACTGTGTCAACACGAGTGATTTGACTAGCCATTACTGTACGAATATAACAACCACTGAATGCTTGATAAGCCACCGAACAGAACGATACTGCAGACACCATGGAGTATTGATCCCGCCATTATGAAGCAAGGGCATGTTGATCTGACCCGACATTGAATGAGAGGGGGTGTATCTGGGAGATGTATGACCTACTTTCTAATAATGACTCGTGCCCTTGTTTTGTCACGTTTACCTACACAAATAAACGATCGTGAAATCGTTTATCACATAGTACCTTCCTCTCCTGCAAACCTTTCTCCTGGAGGTGAACTCTCATATTGAATGGAGCTGTTTTTACATCTGTTTATCTTCATAAAATATATATAACATTTACGATTACATTTCTGATAGACAAAATATTGTCCTTGACTTAAAGTCAGATATACGGTTATACAAATTAAATCTGTGACAATTTTGACAGAAAGAAATCACTCCACTGAAATGTAAAGTGAGTGAGTGAGTTTAGTTTTACGCCGCACTCAGCAATATTCCAGCTATATGGCGGCGGTCTGTAAATAATCGAGTCTGGACCAGACAATCCAGTGATCAACAGCATGAGCATCGATCTGCGCAATTGGGAACCGATGACATGTGTCAACCAAGTCAGCGAGCCTGACCGCCCGATCCCGTTAGTCGCCTCTTACGACAAGCATAGTCGCCTTTTTACGACAAGCATGGGTTACCAAGATCAATTCTAACCCGGGACCTTCACGGGTTGAAATGTAAAGGAAGCCCCAATGAGATGAAAGGTTAGGAACCCGAATCTATCTAAACTTCATTTAGGGGACTTTGCATTACAGAAAGATCTGGGCGGAAGTGAACATATGGTTGAGGGACATTGAGACAGGCTATCAGTATCTACTATCACCTCCATTGTCACTGATGCAACCGAACTGGCGTCTTACCCAAGAGACCGGACACCGCCGAATGAGGTTATCTGTGTCACGTTGACAATGCCCACCTGTAAGACATTATCTACACCCGTGTTCTACTCAAGCCACTGAGAGAGAGAGAAACGTTGGCACTCACTGACCTG